GTGGGTTTCCGTCCAACCACCGCCATCTTTGTCTCCGCGGCCGCGTGTGCTGCCACCACTGCATGCCTCGACCTCCTGCTGCTGCCTCTGCCACTGCCTCACACCCCACCCCACCCACCACACCCGCGGCCCCCACTGCCACCGCCTCCATGGCAGTGTGCCGCTGCTGCACGCCTTGCCCCGCCCTGCCCTACTCACCCCGCACCTGCTGCCAGTGCTTCCCCTCCAGCAGCCACAGCTGCCTTGCTTTCCACTTTCCCTCCCTTTTTCTTCTATGCTTTCTTCAGTCTTCCTTCTCCCTCCCTCCACGTATGCAAACCATCTGCCATCTTTGGTGGATTAATTTGCATACTTACTCTGATTGGCTGGTGGGCGTGGCTGGTGGGTGTGACAGAGTGATGGTTAATTTGCATATTACTTTATTATTAGGTAGGATGTGTTGATGCTTACCAAATTGAATGGATGTATATATATGTTTAACAAATTGGATGGATGTACACACACACACACACACACACACACACACACTGAGGGTTATAGGAACAGCCTTGCTGGGTGACTCTGGCTCAGTCCCTTGTGAGGTTTCAGTGAAACTGTTGGCTGTTGGCCAGGGCTGCAGCCTCACCTGCCCAGAGTCTTTGCCACCCTCACCCACCGGACTGTTGGCAGGAGCTTCAGTTCCCGGCCTCGGGCATCTCATGACATGGTTTTCCCAGAGAGAGTGAGGAGAGAGAACCCAAAGGGAAGCCCACGTGTCTACTGCCTAATCGCAAAGGGGACAGGTCGTCATTCCCGCATCATCTATTGGTCACACAGACCGGCCCTGATAGGAGTGGGAGGTTCCACAGGAGGCCATGATGCCAGGAGGCAGGGTGCTTGGAGCCTCTTGGAGGCCCCCTAACAGAGATGAACTGTGCCGTGTTCCTGTACCCACACACACCCCATGTGTGTTCTCAGGGAAGACCTCCCCTCTCCTTCACACAGGTCCCGCTTCATTAAATCCATCCTCAGTACCTCACATCTATTTGGCTGCTATGGTGAACGGGATCTTTTCCTCTTGGCATTTTCTAAGTCATTGCTGTGCTCAGACAGGGACACTATTGATTTTTATGGCCATAATTTGTCAGTAGAGCTTAACTGGTGACAAGGCAAAAACCACTCCACTTTCACTGAGCCCTGGGATTGCGAAACCGAGACCAGCTGAGATGCCAAATGTGCCCTTGGGAGCGGCTCCCCACGTGACTCAGTGCAGGGGAGGTGAGCACGCATAGGAGAGCTTTCCTGTAGCTGCTGCTCGCGTGGTGGCTGTGCCCAGGGTTTCCAAGCCGAGGTGATGGGGTTCTCTGGCCAACATGGACCCTGCCTTGGGGGGAGCCTGTGGCAGCTGTGAGAGGACAGCCGGGCGTGCTGCCTAAGCCCACGGAGTCAGCCCCTCTGTCCATGACTTCAGTGCCTGTCTCCGGCAGCCTCTGTCCAGGATCCTGTTCTGGATGCTTCCCTGGTGTATACTCAGCTCTAATCAACTCACTTTGAAAGTTCCTCATCCATTCCCCCTTCTTTTTTAAAAAAAATATATTTTATTGATTTTTTATAGAGAGGAAGGGAGAGGGATAGAGAGTTAGAAACATTGATGAGAGAGAAACATCAATCAGCTGCCTCCTGCACACCCCCTACTGGGGATGTGCCCACAACCAAGGTACATGCCCTTGACCGGAATTGAACCTGGGACCTTTCAGTCCGAAGGCCGACGCTCTATCCACTGAGCCACACCGGTTAGGGCCATTCCCTCTTCTAATAGGCATTTATCTGGCACCTGCTGCGTGCCAAGCAGTGTTCCGGGGAGAGGGCATCAGTGGAGTGCCTGGCCCTGTGGTGCGTGCCATCTCCTAAGGGAAGAGAGACAAAGCACAAATAAGAAAGATGACATTTTACGAAGTAAGGGCTGAGGGGAAAACAGCAGGAGGATCGGGTGTATAGAGGAGCTAAAGGTTTGAGCAAAGACTTGAAGGTGATGGGACCACGTGGGTTCCAGGCAGAGGGAACAGCAGTGTAAAGGAGGCCAGTGCATGGTGTCTGCAGAAAGCCAAGGACACCGGCGGGATGGGGCCAGGGAGGGATGGAGGGAGGGAGAGAGAAGGGGCTGCATGAGGCGTGAAGGAGGGAGGCAGATCATGGGCCCCTGCATGGACTTGGCTTTGACTCAGTAAAATGAGCCATTGTAAGGATTTAACGGAGATCTGATCTGATTGTAAGAGGATTTTCGGTGGAAGCAGAGATGCCTGAGAGGAGGCTTCAGGGTGAGGACTCTCCCTAGGCTGCGCTCTGTATTTCTCGTTGGCAAGGCCAGCTCGGACTCCTCGCCTCTGTGGTAGGCTTAGGCGTGGGCCAGCGTTTGCCACCGCTCTCCTGCCTCCTGCCTCCCGTCTCCTGTGCTCCAGGCTCCGTTCCCATCCAGCACCAAGGCTGTGTGAGGCTCAGGGCCCCTCTTCAGCCCGGAGCCTCCGAGTCACATTTGCAAAGGGCTTTTGAAATATATCTTATTTCAGTCAGATGAGTCATGTGGCTGACTCATGGCCTTGAACAATACGGACTTGTCTGAAGTGGTCTCCCTCCCTCTCCCCAGGAGAAAGAAAAGCACCATGTGTGTTCTTCGATATTTTCCCCTTTGCCTACACAAAATAAACACAGACTCTAAAAAGCGGATTACGCTGTGCACAATGTTATGCATCTTCATGTTATCTGCCCCGGACGTTTTTCCTGGCTACACCTTTGGGAAGCCCCTACCCGCCGGGGGGACATTCGGGTGGTTTGCAGAAGAAACTGCGTTAGCATGCAAAATCAAACATACACATAGGCCAGCAAAAAATGAAAACAAAATAAAACGAGTTGAAAGGCTGCAGAAACCCATGTCTGAGTACCCCAGGTGCCCATTTTCAGTCCTTTCCTGCGCGGCTCCAACCCCTGGGGTCCGGGTCATTAACAACGCTGTCCCTCTCGCTTGCCTGGCCAGGGGGTCCCCTCTCCTCAGGTCCTGGCACCTCCCTTAGCCTCCCACTGCGTCCCCTTGCACTTGGCCAAGTCTCCCCTCATAGGCCGTCCCTCTCCTCGAGGCCACCAGGGGGCGCCCAGCCCGGGCCCAGCGGCCGCAGCTCCGGGGAGGGCGATGGGCGGGAGGAGGCGCCACGCGGGCTGAGCAGCTCCGGGCCGCGCCCGCAGGAAACCCGACGCCGCTGGCAGCGGCGCCCCGCTGCCCTCCACGGCCTGGCCTCCTGCCCCACTGACCTGGGATTGCCAGGCAGCACCCGCCCTGCGGCACAAAACGGGGTGCTTCCCGACTGACCGCTGCCCACCTTTTCCGAACAGGGTCCCTGGAGTCAGCGCCGCAAGAGTGACCCCATTCCCCGCCCCCCGCCCCAGAACCTCCACCCCCCACGGCCTGCGGGTCCTGCCGCTGCCGCACAGTGCCCTCTGCCCCTCTTGGGGTCGGGCCTGGGGGACCCAGAAAAGGGGGGAGGCAGCCAGCACTTTCTGTGCATCCTCTCTCCCCTCCGAGTCTCTGGATTCCGGCCCCACCCGCCACAGCTCGCGCACCAGCCGGAAGAGTGTGGGGAAGCAGGAGTCAGGGAAGGTTCTGGGTCCGAGAACCTCGGAGGCCAGGGCTTGCAGGTGGAGGACAGAGGAGAGGGCGCGGGGCCAGGGGCCAGGGGCCAGAACGGGGCTGCGTGGCAGGAGCCTCTGTGGGAGCGCCCAGGTCCGGGTCACGCGGGGACAAGCAGCCTGGCCCTGCTCGCTTCGCTGTGATGCTGTGGTTTGAAGCTCATCTGAACCCCCTTCATGTTCCTTCCTGTTCCCTGTGGTCCATCACTCTGGGGTGCCCGATCCGCCTCCGTCCTCAAAGGGAGGAAGGATCACCGATGCCACCAGGCCACAGTGCTGAGTGCTGGTGACTTACTTCCTCCTCATTGCGTTACATTTTTGAACCATCAGAACATTCGTAGTTGGCATGGATGTGAAATTTGAAATCTGGGTAAGTCCCAGTGTGGCCGCTCATGGGTTGGGAGCCATAGGCGAGTCACTTACCGGCCCTGAACCCCAGTTTCCTTACGGGAGTTTCAGGGCAGCGGTGGGCAGCTCCGAGTGCCTGGCGGGCGGGTTCCATCTCAGCGACAGCGGCTGCTGCCCACCTGAACGCTGGTGGCATCTGCTCTGTCCCCGGGCGCCAGCTCCCAGCTCCTGGCGTTGCGTTTCCTTCCTTTTGGTCACCGTCAGACACCTGCAGCAAACAACAAAAAGACCGGTGACAACCACCCAAACTGCGGGTCCGTCTGTCAGCCGTGCCCAGCTCAGAACCTCCCTGTGGGGGAAGGGGAGAGGCTCTCTGCCTCCGGCCGTCCTTGAACTCCACGGAGAAGCCCCTTCCGTGGTCCCTCCTGATTCCACTTTGCTTTCTTTTTTGGCTCTGACACAGAGGGAGCTCTCTCCTCCCCTCAGGCAGAGTGTAAAGCGTTACCTCGGGATGCCAGACTCCTGGAGAAGGTGGGGAATGCGGAGCCATGGAGGGAAGGCAGGCCGGGGAGCTGGCTGCTCTGAGGCTGCTGGCTGGCTGGCTGGCTGCTCTGGTCGGTCTGAAATTGGCTCGAAAGACGTGGAATTAGTGGGCGAAGTCGCCCGCACCTCCTCCTCTTACCTGCGGAGGGGAGATCGGTTCCTGGCTGGCCGGGGCAGTGTCATCGATACAGCTGGTGTCATCGTTACCTTCCACTAACAGATCACTCGACACCCGTGGCCCCGGCGGGGCTGTGCCTGGCGCTGTCCCGGGAGCTGGAGCTCTGACCCTCCCATCGCCCCGAGCCCCGGGCAAGCTGCTGGGACGCGGTGCCCGGTGACCCAGCGGGACTAGATTGCTCCTGGTGCCCGCCTCTCCTGCCGGGTCCCAGCCGCCTCTCGGCTGGCTTCCTGTCCTGGGCGGAGGAGATGAGGTTGCCGCCTGCTGGGAGCTGAGGCAGAGGGACATGCTGCACGGAGCAGGGGCTCGTGGGGAGACCCTGGAGTGAGGAGCTGGGGGAGGAGCAGCCCGGGGTGTCCGGCCGCCCGGGCTCTGCTGGCGTGGGCACCCGGGTGGCACCATGCTGCAGCAGATCCTGCACGACATGTACATCGACCCCGAGCTCCTGGCAGAGCTGAGCGACGTGCAGAAGCACATTCTCTTCTACAAGATGCGGGAGGAGCAGCTGCGGCGCTGGCGGGAGCGTGAGGCCTGGGAGGCCCTGGCCCAGGCCGAGGGGCTCCGGCCCCCCAAGGTCAAGCGAGGTAGGTGCCGGGGAATTGCCGAGGGGCTCCTTATCGGTGCCGGGCTAGGTTCTGCTTTAAGTTGGGCACTGCTGGAATGTGAGGTGGGAGCTTGAAACCCTTGTTCTGTGAGTGTCTGGTCTTTGGCCTTTGGTCCAGGTCTGCGGGGCCCCGGGCTGCAGAGGGGGCCACGCAGGGCCGTGAGGATGCTGGGGAATGGGATGTGCTCTGTCCTGTGGGAAGCTCAGTCCTGGGAGGGCAGCGCCGGGGCCTCAGATGGTCTGCGATCCCGTTAGCTGCCTGGCGAAGAAGCCGATGCCGCCAAGCTGTGCGGTCATTCCCTTTCTGGTGTGGGAGGCACAGTGCTCTGGGCGAGGCCAGCTCCGGGCACTGCTACCCTCCGCCCTGCCCTCATGTGAGGGATCCCCCCGGGGGCATCTGGAGGGGGTGCCGGGAAGGTCCTGCACAGGGAACCTGCCCCAAATGGCAGGAGCCACTGCAATCAGGCAGGAAGGACCGGCCCACATTGAGGGGATTTGCCTGCTGCCATGTGTGGTCGAGCCCAGGGACGGGCACCTGTGAGGGAAGGCGCCCTGAGGCCGGCAGCGGCTAGGTGGGGGCCGGGACTCAGGATCTGGGGGTGGCCCTTTGTGCATGTTGCCTGCAGAGTGTGCAGCACCCGTTCGTTCCTCTCCCCGCACTCCCCACCAGCCTGATTCTGTTCTCCAGCGTGAGGTGCGGCCTTGTTCTGTTTAGAGTTTCCAGTCAAGATGAAATCCTGCTTCTGTGCTGCGCATGCTGGCCCCTTGGGCACCTGGCTCCTGCGTTCTACCCCGGGCTCACTGGACAGTCCCTGCCGTGTGCCACAGGGCACCTCTCTCCCCCCTCTCCCCCGGGGCAGCTCGCTCCAGCCTCTGTCTTTGCAAGAGTAGTTCTTCCTGTTGGAATGTCCCCCTGCTTTCATCCTCCCACCAAACACCTTTAGGACCAGTCCCATCCGGTGCACTCATTCATCTCTTCCTTCGCTCTCTTACCCAACACAGCCAAGGGCATCTTTTGGGGATGCTCCTGGACAGGGAAGTACTTACTCCTCTGCAGCTGCTTGGCATGGGGACCTACCCCTGCTCTACCCTTGCCACACTGGCATTCGCCATCTGCTTGCTTGGCTCCCCCAGGGACCCAGAGAGCAGGCTTTCCTCCATTGTCTTCCATCCTGGGTCCAGCCCCGCGCAGGCACAGCGCTCAGTCCTCCTCCTGCACACCATGCAGCGGGACCCCGGGGGGCAGAGCTGTGACTGGGCTCCGCATGGCTGGTGCCAAGGCTGGGCTGACGGCCGGGCTGCGCTGGCAGCAGCATCGTTAGCTGTTGAAAACGCAGGCCGCCGTGCCAGGCCCACCCGGCCGGCCCCGGGCCTCACACGGGCCGGGCAGTGGCTCTTTGGGGAAGAAGACAGATGCCTGGAAATTTAGTTGCAAAAATATTTTTACGGCGATTTGTCACGCGCGGACATCTTCATTCTCCTGGATACATTACGCCTCACACGCATTTGAGTTTCTGGTGCAGATGACTCTTAATTTTCTGACTTATAATTAATTTTCTGACTTATAAAGAACAGAAAAAGAGGAGGAAACACAGAGGACTGTGTGTGTTCCAAGTCAGCATCCCATCCAGATCCCAGCTCTTTGCTTCGATCCTGCCCGTGGAGCCGTCGGGGCAGATAAGCGGGAGCTCTGGGGCCCGCTGTGCCCGGAAGGCTGAGCAGCCTCCTGCAGCTGGTCCTGATCCCGGAGGCATGGTGCCCGCTTCCCGCTTCCTGTCCTCAGGTCCTGACGCACGTTTCAACCACCTCCCACCTCCCCAGTGAACTCCACGTTTCCCAGCTGCCCGCCCCCAGGGAACCCTGCCATATTCCACTGACCCCATTCCAGGGAAGCCATGGCTCACAGAAGTGCCACAATCCATCACGTCGACACTAAGAAATGGAGTTGGGACCCGTATCCCATGACTTTGACCGTTGGGTGCAGTTCCTGATGTTTTTCTATTCGTTCACTTTTGAATTATGACTCAAGTTCAACAGATCACCGGTACACTCATTCATCTCTTCCTTCGCTCTCTTACCCAACACAGCCAAGGGCTGACTTTGGCCACCTGGATGGAGAGAGCTGTGCAGATCTCGAGGACACAGCCTGAGGGAGCAAGGCTTGGTGCAAAGCAGCCACATGGGGACTCAGGGCGGGATCTTTCCCTCTTCCTTACCTTCGTGGGCACTCCTTCCACCAAGTTTGCCTGAAAGGGCGCATCTGCTGTGCCCTGTGGACCTGTGTGCCAGCCCCTGGGGTCCCCCGAGCACAACTTAGTCCTGGTAAACCTGGAAGGACGCTTCACCGCCTCCTGTCCATTGCCCCAGTGCTGCTTGGCCCTGAGGCCTCCACTCGCTCTCTCTTTTCCCTCCCAGCTCCTCCCAGGCCTTATTGGCTGCTTCTAGGACTGGGTGCTGAGGGCAGGGTGGGTCCAGGCACCCTGTCGCTGTGGGTGTCTGCTCTCCAGTGGAGCCAGGAGAGGGTAGGAGCCAACACTGGTGCTGCAGATGGTGCCAGGTCCCAGCGCTGAGCCTGGAGCACACATCGGGGCCGAACAGACAGACATCGCTGGGGTGGAAGGTGACAGTTATGACGGGAAGCAGCCCTCCCCTGACGACACAGATGTCTCTTGTTTTCACTTTCTATTTGGTGAGGATCTCCGGACATTCTAAGTGTCATGGAAGATACACGTCTTCAGCGTAGACACCCTCTCACTGCCGCCACTTTTGCTGCTTTGCCACATTCCCACCAAAATCCGGGTCCTCAGGCTGGGAAGGCAGTAGCATTACGTTCCTGCTGGTCCTCAGCCAGGCCCAGCATGGTGACGACCTTGGCAACCTCTCTCCCTCCTGTGCTCTTTCACTTGCGCAGGAACCCGCACCCGGTCAGGGGCTGCAGCCTTCACAGCCTCCGGCCCCTCTGCGTGCTCAGCGTCTCCGCTTCCTGGGGCTGAGCCGCTGTGGCCTGGGGCACAGGACTAGGGACACTCGTGTGCGAACTGCTGTCGTGACCCAGAAAGCTCCCCTCTGGCCTGTCAGTTCTTCCATGGTTGGCAGTTTCTGTCAGTGTTAGGTCGGTTCCTTGGTGACCACCTCCCTATCTGTCCCTACATCCTTTGCCTGGGAACCAGGCATCTTTCCCACTTCCTCTTCCGTTACTGACCACAGCTACACTCGGGCCTGCACACGGAGCGGCTGGCTTGTTGTCCTCTGTGCTTCTTGCTTACCCAGCCACCCCCATGGTAGCATCTCCACGGGCCTCCGTGCTGGCCCCAGCCTGGCCCTTGCTCCAGCCTACGGAGCGCTCTCACGCAGCTGGGTCCCAGCCCCACGGCCTCTGCTCCCCTCAGCGGGGATCAAGAGGTGGTTTCCTCCCTCCTAGAGTTCCCTCTCCCTGCCGGCTCAGCCTGCGCAGCTCCCAGAAGCAGCCCTGACCGGGGCCTGAGGGAGACACTCCTTGGCATCCTCTCTGTGTCCCAGCATTAAGCTGCTCCTGCTGCATATCTGCCCAGGCTTTGGTGCCTCATGTGTGCCGGATCCACACCCTAAAGAAGCTGTGGGACACAGTCCCCGCTGTGCGGCTGCTTTCACTCAGTAACCATGACAACCTTCCCTGGGGCCTGAGCCCTCCTAGCCTCAGTGTGTGGGTTCCTGTTCCCTTTCCCAGCTTGGAAGTCCTGACTGTAGACATCCTTAATGCAGAACTGTTCTCACACTGAGGCTGTGTGAGCCTTTCTCCCAGTGCCCTTTCAACATGCTAATTAGCTCACGCGCTTTCCTTCCTCAGGGGCACAGAACGTGCAAATGCCTTTCACTGGCCTCTGCCCACTCTCCAACCCCATTTCCACCCATTGGGCTCCCTCTGTTCTTTCCTGAGCCCTCTCGAGGCCAGTACCTCCAGCATTCATTTCCCATTACATGGTGAGCTTTTCACTGCCTGCCTTCCCAGTGAGCATGGGGCAGTCTCTTTTCATAGCACTCTGCCCCATTTTCTTCTTAGTGAGATGTGATTTTAAGCTGTTGGGTTCGTTGTCTCAAGAAATTGCCGAATGAATTCACGGACCAGGGAGGGGTAAGCAAGAGGGAGAGAAATTTATTAAAGCGAAAGTAGCAAGGCTCTCAGCATGTGAGAGGGTCCCTCCCAAAAAGGGGATTTATATTTCCTGCACTTGATTTTTATTGGCTTTTTTTTTTTTTTTTTTTTTTTTTTAGAAAATTTCCTTCCTTACCACCAGCCAATCTCCTCTTGCTCTTGTCTTCCCGCTTTTAGCTTCTGCTCTTGGGTTGGGTGGAGGGATGGGAGGTGTAGCCATAGAGTTGGCTGGTGCATTCTGCCTATCTTGCTCACATCCTGACCATCCTCTTGATCTGCTGTCTTCCCTCCCCGAGGCCCTTACCTTAAACTGCCTGATCCTAACTCCTCAACAGCAGATACTTTTTAATAAAAGAGTATCCCTTTTTTTTTAAACAAAAAAAGTGCTACCATCCACACCACATAAAATTTACCATTTTAGCCATGAGATGCTGTGCAATCTAGTGATAGTTAGCACGTTCAAAACTTTCTGTAACCACCATCTCCATCTTGTTCCAGAACATTCCTGCATCTGTGAATCTGTCACTCCCGATCTGCCCTCCCCTCAGCCCCTGGCACCACTGACTCCTTTCTGTCTCTATGGAGCCCTCCTTCTCTCCCTCTTCCCCCTCCCTTCCTTCTCTCTCTCTCCTGCCTCTTCCTGCTTCTGAATCTGTTTGCTCAGTTGAGGCCGGTCTCCTCCATGAGCCTGAAAGTACCATGAGACCATGGGTGTTGCTTGCATTGTTTCTATCTGGACTGTGCACCCAGCCTAGGGCTTTGGTGGGTGTGTGGGCAGACGGTGGAGTAGCTGGTAAGACCTTTGCAGCCTCATGTGTCAGAGGGGCTCGACTGGAGGGACAGGCATT